TTATCCGGTACAGAGTGCCAGCTCCGGGTACCTTTTTTTGGAAAACAAGGACCAGCGTTCTCGTGAGAACGATTTCTCTGTCTTTCAAATGATAATATCGAGTAACACAGACGGAAAAGCTATTCTCATGGAAATGCTGCTTCTCTGTTTCAAGAATAAGGGCCCAGGAGAGAAGGTGCTCCGTGAACAAAATTTCTCCTCCTTACCGAAAAAAATAGGCGCGTAACATTTGAGTATGTTACAGGGGAATTCTGGACAAAAATGGGCAACTTTCACATTTTCAAACTATTCTGTCAGTCATTCTGATATAACATCTGTATATTGTTTTCCAAAAAAAACTTTTATTTTTGAAAATAAAATGATTTGAAAAACAAATTTTCAAACTGTTGCGAAAACACCGGATAGAAAAGGGACGTCACTTTCCCAAACATGCGAGGATGCCGAAGTTCTCATTAGTAAACCATTCCAAAATATAGCTGATAAAAAACCTGGCTACCTAGTAACATGATCCTAAAATATACTCCTGGAAAAAATTATCGCACCACTGCTTATGGTGGTGCTTATGTGCAGTGGTGCGATAATTTTGTCCAGGAGTGTATTTCGTCATTTCGAATGTGGCAACATGCGCATGAATGCTTTAGTCAATGAGAGTTACTATTGTGCGCAGTTTTTTTTTTTCTGAATTCTTTTTGTTAACAGAGCCCCCCCCCAAATCAAAATCCTGGATACGCCAATGTAGTAGTCTAACTTTAGTGTGAGACAGTTGGTTATTATTTTCGAGAATAATTTATATATTTGGAGTAGCAGGCTGATCGGTCTGTAATTATCTAGGTTCTCGGTGTCCTCCCTTTTTGTGAATGATTGTCACGAGGGCGTTTGTCCAGTCCTGTGGTATGTCCTCCGTTTCCAGGCATTTGTTGAACAGCATTTCTAGTCTAGTTGGTCCTCTAGTATATCTCTGCTTTGCTTTAACATTTCCGTTAGTATGCCGTTTTCGCCTGCTGCTTTCCCGTTTTTTATATGATGTAATGCTAGTCTTCTGTAATGACATTCATGATTTTCACTTCCTGGTCTTGTTCGGATATGTCGCTAGTTACTTTCGTCTCGTATAGGTCTGCATAAAATTCTTGTACCGTCTTTATAATTTCATGTCTTCCCTCGATTCTTTGTCCTGTTTTGACTTTGATTCTGACAATTTCTTTCTTTGTGTTCGTCGTTAGTTTTCTAAACACTTTCATCCCTTTGTGTTGTTCCAGTACTTTCTGCACAATTTGCTCATTGTGTTTTCTGATGTCCTCCTTTGCCATCTTTCTGGAGATTCTATCGTTCTGAACAATTTAAAATCTTCTGCATATAGCAAGCCAATGGACGATCCTACACTGTCTGGCAAGTTATTTACAAATATCACAAAAAGCAGTGGCTCCAAGTTACTCCCTTGGGGGAACCCGAGGTGGCCTCAAATGACTCGGATTTGGCTCATCCTACTTTAACTACCTGAGGCCTCTTGAGCAAGTAAGATATTATTAATAATTAAAGGCATGCTCTGCAAATACACAGAGGTTAGTGACTGTAGAACTTCCAGGCATTAAGCCACAATGCAATTGATAATTGAAATTGAGCGATAATTTTTTATGTCAGCTTTGCTGCCACTTTTTTAAGTGGAGGCAATGACTCCCATTTTTAGAATATTAGGAAAGGTGTTTTGCTTGATAGCCAAGTAGGTAATTAATGCTAGCGGCTTCAATAACAAGTCCTGGTAGCCCTTATTGACATAAAACATAAGAGACTTCTGCTAGATGTTCCAAATACTCCATTTTGGTTTGGGATATAACTCGGGATATAATAATATTCGGAATATTTGAAAGACAGATATATTTGCGTGTCATCCTCGTACTGATTGGAGGAACAATGTTCCAGTATTCTGCTAAGATCAGCAGTGTAGAGAGAAAACATAAAAGGCCTAACTATACTGTCACAACTACCCGCTTTACGGGGGTGACATGGGGGGTTTGTAGCTTTGGGGGTAGATGGAGAGAAACTCGCTCAGGTTATATAAAAATATTATTATTATTATTATTATTATTATTATTATTATGATACAATAGTAAGCAGTTTACACTGATGAAACTATTGGATTACTTGTAAGTTTATCGTCGTGTTTTTGGTAAGAACTTATTGTCCATAATGAATATCCACATGGAGTAATGCACTCATATCGGTGTCGACCTTATTCTTGAAAGAATTCAGACTCTGGGTGGTGACTGTAGAATTTGACAGGCTGTTCCATGGGTAGACAATTCGATTTGCTATGAAGTTTCTTCTTGGAAGCTTGGCGGTTTTTTCCTTGCACAACTTCAAAGTATGACCTCGTAGATGGGGGTTGTTATTGAAGGTGAAGATGTCAAGGTTACAGGAGTAGCCATTTCGAATAATCTTGTATGTCTCGATCAGATCTCCTCTCTGACGCCTTTCCCTCAAAGAAGTGAGTCCCAGGGTGGATAGTCGAGTAAGGTAATCTTCATTACGGAGTGATGGTGGAATTTTTGTTACTCGTCTCTGCACTCGCTCTAGTATCTCGATATCCTTTATGAAGTACGGATTCCAAACTGAGTGGGCGTATTCTAGTTTTGGACGTATGAAAGATTTATACAGTTTCATAATGGTGTTGCACGACTGGTCTTCAAAGGCCTTTTTCACAAGGTATATGTATGAGTTGGATTTTTTGGCAATTTTTGATATGTGCATGTCCCATTTCAGATTATAGGTTACTATGACACCTAGATCCAATTGCTCCCTCACATGCTTCAGCTCGACATTGTTTATTTTGTAGGCATACTCAGTGGTGTTGGTTCCAATGCTCAAGATAGTACATTTTTCTTCGTTTAGCCTCATTTTCCACATATTGGACCACACTTCTATAGCTCTGAGATCTTCTTGCAATTTCTTGTGTTCTGCGGCCTTTGCATACAATTTCGTGTCGTCGGCAAAAAGTAGAACCCTGGTTTGGATATTAGATGTCATATCGCTGACATACAATAAAAAAAGTAGAGGACCCAGTACTGATCCCTGAGGCACCCCACTCTGCACTTTTCTTCTGTCTGAAAAGATTGCATTTATTCTTACTTGGTAGCATCGGTTTAATAGAAAATTTGATACAAATTGTAATAGGTTCCCAGCAATGCCAAAGTGATGTATTTTGTGCAGGAGATAACTGTGACATACTTTATCGAACGCCTTCTCAAAGTCGAGATATATCACATCCACTTGCTCGTTATTGTCAAAGTCCCTTGTCCAATCGTCCAAGCATAGTGTAAGGTTGGTTGTTGTAGAACGCCCTGGAAGAAAACCATGTTGGTGCTTCAGTAATGGATTTTGCTCCAGTACAAATGGGGTTAACTGTTTCACCACAATTTTTTCCATACACTTGCATAGATTGCACGTCAAACTTATTGGACGATAGTTCGATGGAGCGGTTTTGTCTCCTTTTTTGTATATTGGAATCACAAACGATGTTGACCAAGTCTCAGGAAAGTTGTGAGCCTCAAAAATACTTTTCATGAGATCAGACAAGGGTTGGCTCAGGATGGCTGCACAATTTTGCAGGAACAGTGCTGGAATTCCATCAGGGCCTGGGCTGGAATCCGTCTTCAACGATTTTATTGCTTCATACACCTTATCAGGAGATAAGTCAATATTTGACATCTTTGAAGTTGCACATAGGTATTCCGGAATTAGTGGCATTTCGTTTTGATTTCCTTTGGTGAATACCTTTTCAAATTGGTTTGCAAAGCATTCCGCTACATCAAAGTCGTCAGTCAAAAGTTCATCCGCTTCATTCTTTAATGTTATTGTTGAAACTTTGGTTGATAGTGTTTTATTCACATACTTGAAAAATATTTTATCTGAGCTCTGAGAAGCAATGTTGCATTCATAGTCTTTTCTTGACTTTCTAATTACACTTGTTAGGTAGTTGTTTTGTTCGCGATATTTTTTGTAATTGTCATCTGTAGCTGATTTTTTGTATTTGTCCCATAGACCTCGTTTCTTTTCTATTTGTTTAAATATGAACTGGTTTAGCCACGGTTTCTGTGGGTTTGTTTTACATGGTTTCAAAGGAATGAACTTGTCTATAGCACTGCTTAAGACTGACATGCACGTGTGGAACACATCACCCGAGGCAGCAAAATTTTGCTCAGCCAGAAAACTATTGATTTTCTCATAGTCGGCACTGAAGAAGTTGCGTTTCAATACAGTTTTCGTTGGACGCAGTTCACACTTTAGTTGACTTTTTCCAATGATGACGACATGGTCGCTCTTTCCTATGGGTGGCTCGGGTTCCAAGTTATATAGCAGTTTCTTATCATTGGTGAAGACTAGATCAAGTAGTGAAACTTGGTCATTTCGGAAACGTGTTGGGAAATCAACCATTTGGTAAGCATTAGTTTCAAGATAGTTGTCCAAAAAAAGTCGATTTTGTTTGTCTGGGTTGGACAGATTAAGATTCTTCCATTCTATATACCGATAGTTGAAATCCCCCATAATATAAACGGGCATATCCAATGAACAGGCACGCTTAATTGAGTTGATCATAATATTATCATTTTCCTCACTAGAATAATCCGTTCTGTATATACAAGAGACCAGAAATTTGATGTTACAGACCTTTATCTCAATCCACAATGACTGTATTGGGGCTAATGTATTAAATTGATTGTTTACTGTAGAATATACTTTGTGTCCATTCAGCTCATCCTTAACCAAAACACACACTCCACCTCCAGTTTGATTTTCTCTGTCTTGGCGGAATACACTATACCCATCAATCCCAACAATACTATCAACAATGTTCTCATTAAGCCAAGTCTCTGTTACTAAGATGCATGCAGGATTATGTTTCTGTATTGATACTGACCATTCATCTATTTTATTGGCAATAGATTGCAAGTTACTATACCAAAAAGTGATTTCAATCTCCAAACTGCTACCCTGATTGTTGCTTATTAGTTTTTTGGACCTTGCTTGATCTTTATAATTTTTGGAATAGAGTTGTGGTATTTAATTTTAAGGTTGGACTCACCGCTTTCCTTTCGGGCTTTTAGTTCGGCTACAACTTCCTTCAAGTACTTCTGTTGAAGGAGAGTTAGATCGCCCTTGATATATATTCCTTTCGATTCATCTAGTTTGCTTTTGCTCTTTAAAATTTTTAAAGCATCTTCCTTTGTTTCAAACATAACCTTTATAGGTCTAACCTTATTTAAATCATATCCTCCCAATCTGTACAATTTGATATTTTCAGTGGGTACGGATTCATCTAGTGAGTTTAGTATTGATACGGCCCCCTCCTTCTCTTTTATATTCCGTTCTTCCTTGTTCAGATTTTTTATTTCAGGAACCCCAAATACAATTATATTCAAGGACCGTTTCGCTCTTTCACTGATTTCATCAATTGCTGGAACCAAGTTTTCTTTGTCTTGGGATTTAAAATCCTCAACCTTTTTTTCGAGTTTATTAACACTTGTTCTTATCAATTCGGCTTCATTTATTATTTTGGTAACCTCAGCATATGTGCTCTTTGCTTTATTCAAGTTTTCTTTAATTTCATTAACTTCAGATTGAAGTTTTTTGAACTCATCCTTCAGCAGTGGAACCTCCTTAATCGATTCCTTCACTTCAACCTTAAGCAGAGGAAGTTGTTTGATGGAGTCCATACAATCCGCACAAAAAAACGGGAGAGTGCGCTTGGCAACCTGGATCAATGCACGTACATCTGTTGTTGAGAAGTTAGCACATCTTTTACACCAGACATCCTTGCACGCATCGCACGGAAACCCAAAAAGTTCGCTTTTGCTTTCCTTAAATATGCAATCCTCATGACACTTTGAACAAGTTCCGGACATGATATGGATAGTATTTTATCGCTCACTGTATATTTATTTGTTTATTTATTTACAAATATTCGAGTAGATAGGTATTGTTTATTTAGTTCTCGAATTGTTTATGATACCCAGCCGCCAGCAGATAAGAATTTAACTCGGAATTTAACTGTTTACAATAGTGCACTTTTTTTTTTTTTCTCCTTTGAATTAATTTATTCCGCACAAACACAGTAGTTGTCAAAGCTGAATCACAGTATTTTGTCGTAACAAATTACGTACTTCAATCGAAAACACATTCGTCAGATAATAGATTTTATACGCTTTCTTTTGATGTTAAAATACACAATTATTTCCAACAACAAACAGCTCAAATAGCCAATACTTCAGAGAAACAAAAAAACACGACGCGTTCACTTGCTTGCTTTTTTTTATATATGCTATATATTTTCCCAAATATAACCTTACATGTATGCTAATCCTATAAGGTACATGACCCTTCGTACACTGGGGTCCTTATAGGGGGCCACACGTCAATTCTGCTTGGGGGACTGTAGATAAGTTTATCGTCACCCTTATGCCTTGTCCAGAGGGGCGTTCCCAACGAGAGGTAATTGCACTGGACAACGATAAGGCTGAAGAAACCCAGAGGGGCGTTCCCAACGAGAGGTACTTGCACTGGGGAGACTTAATTCCAGAGGGGCTTTTCCAACGAGAGGTACTTGCACTGGTTTAAGTCTGCCTTTGCTGCGGCTTGCAGCGCAATTTATATTAATTTATTGCTGAATTGCAATAAATATTCAATCGAATCGGCAATTAAATTAATAAGGTTGAATACCGGGTCCTCCTTTCCCAAGCAGCTAGTTGACATATGCCCCCCTCCATGAAGCATTGGACCCCAATGCTTGGAAGAGACATTTACAACAAATTATATACAAATACCATAATAGTGTCAAAAAATACAATAATATCCTTATCCTAAACATATCCCTTCTTTACAATAATAGCCTAATTATAAAATATCCCTGATGCTTAACAATTATATAATCCAAATATCGCGTAGGTATAGAGAAAAGAGTTAGCTTAAAATCGAGTTTCGATAAAAATTGGCTTGATTGAGTTAGTTTAAAGTTGAGTTCTTAAAAAGATGGCGCGCGCGAAGAAGTACGTTTGTCAAGAGTGTAAGAGAAATGTGACTAAAAATTCAGTTAGTTTAAAATGCAGCGATGTATGTGGTAATTATTTTCACGAAAAGTGCACTGGTCTATCGGAAAATCAGTTGGAAGAGATCCTTAAAAAGAAAAACCACAATTGGAAATGCAAAAATTGCATGGGAGAAAGTGAGGTTAGTAGCGGTAGCGAAAGCGGCAGTGGCTACAGCTCATCCAGTGAGGAAGAGGAAGAATTAAGTAGAAATGTGTCCCTCCGAAAATCATATTCGGGGAAAAAAGAGTTGAGAGCTAAAGCCAAGTCAAGATCGACAGAACCCGAAGAGCCTGACAACATAACCTCGAATCGAAGAAAATCCAAAAACAACAACAAAGGAGATAAACAAAAACAAAACGATTTGGGAGAATTGTCGTCAAAGCCCAATCCAACAAATAGTGACTTAATGAAAGTCCTGAATGGAAGATTTTCCGAGTTTGAGAAGTCTCTTACGTACTATGGAGACTGCTTGGATGACCTGAAAAATTCCGTGAAAGTTCTTACAAAGGAAAACGAAAAATTGAAAAAGGAGCGCAATGGCATGGAAAAACGGATTCAGGCCCTTGAAAAGGAAGTTATTAAAATTAATGAACGTAGCACTAGAGAAGATCAGGAGGAAAGGAATAGAAAATTGGTCTTTTTGGGAATACAAACCACTAAGGAAAATTGTTCTGAAGATATTCATAAAGTCCTAACAGCTCTGGACATAAATGTCCCAAAGCAAGAATTTCAAACTAGACTCTTGCCCTCTGATAAATCAGACAAACCAATTGTTGTTACATTTAAAAGCGAGGAAATTACAGGAAAAATAGTTGAAAACAGAAGAAGGAAAGGAATTTTAACAATAAAAGACTGCAAGCTAGGGAACAGTGACAGAAAAATTTTCATTAATGAAGACCTCTCCAAGGAACTAAGAGATTTGTTCTTTAGGGCAAGAAAGCTCAAGAATAAAGGGTACAAGTATATTTGGTGCAAAAATAGCAAAGTGCTGGCACGCAAGGAAGATGGAAGTGAAGTAATTCGAATAAATAATGTAGCGCAGATAGAGAGTCTGGAGGAGGACTCGAGCACAGAATAGAGCTCATACATCAATTTAATTCAATAAAAAGTAGTTTGAAAGTGTTAACTAAGTGCAATGGATTCAATGTATTGTACATAAACGCAAGATCCCTGAGAGACAAGACAGATGAAATAGAAGTTATTATAAGAAGCTTTAAAATACAAATTCATGTTGTTGTTGTTACTGAAACATGGTTAAAACCAGGAGAAGAAAAGTTCTATAATATAACTGACTATAATGCTTGCTATGTAAGTAGAGACAAACACGGTGGCGGGGTTGGAGTTTTTATAAGGAATTCGTTAACATTTAAAGTTATGAAAGAGCACAACTCAGATCTTTCAATGATCACTGTGAATATTGTAAATTACAAACTAAATGTTACGGCTTTGTATAGGCCCCCAAATTATAATATGAATTCATTTCTTGGGGAACTGGAAAACTTTCTGGAGAGTACATCATATTCTAAAAATATTATAATAGGCGATTTTAACTTAGACCTTATGAAAAATGGCAATATTGTTAGCACCTACAGGGAGATATATGAATCATGCAACTACCACTTGATAAATGAAACGATTCCAACGAGATTATCAAACCATCCTTCCCTCATTGATCATGTTGTTACGAATTTTGCAAGTAACTCCAAGTTGGCACTAATTGATCATTGCCTTAGTGATCATATGCTGCAAGTCCTGAGTTTACCTAAAGCAAAACAAACTTATGGAGCACCAGAGAAAAAATATAAGGTATATCAAAATGTAAATTACTTGGAAGCACAGAACACACTTGTACAACTTATCGATAATTTGGCCCAATATACTGACCCAGTATTACTGTATGATAGATTGGAGGATATTTTTGTAAATTGCAGATACGTTCAGGTCAAAGAGGTATGTAAAGTCACTGGGAAGGAATGGATAAACCAGAAAGTTATCTCATTAATTAAGAAAAGAGATCACTACTTCAAAAAGCTTAGAAAGCATGATACCAATTATTATAAAAATAAACACAAAGAGTACAGTGAAAGGGTAAAAAAACAAGTAAAATATGAAAAGAAACGATACTATAATGCAGAATTTAAACGGAACCTTGGGAATGGAAAAAAAACATGGAACACAGTCAACAGAATATTGCACAACAAAGAGCAGACAGCGCAGGTGATCCCAGCATTGAAACAAAATGATATCATGCTAACGGATGCTGTTGAAATTTCAAAGGCATTTAATGAGTTTTTTATTAATGTTGGTCCCGATTTGTCAAAAAACATTCAACACATGCCTGTGGAAAGGTCTCATGGTGTCAAGGACTCTTTCTTTTTCAAGCCAGTTTCACTAGCAGAAGTAGAAACGATTATCAGCACAATGGACAGAAACAAGGCGTGTGGAGCGGACAACATCACAGTAGAAAGTGTTCAAAGACTCAAGACAGAGTGCTCAATTATCTTAGTGAAAATCATCAATCTCTCTCTGCAAAGTGCTGCAATACCTGACAAGATGAAGATAGCTAGAGTTAAGCCTCTCTACAAAAAGGGGGACTATGAACTGCCTTCCAATTATCGACCAGTATCCGTTCTTCCGGTTTTCTCCAGAATATTGGAAGTTTGTGTGAACAAGAGACTTCAATCTTTCTTGGATAGGTTTGGGTTTCTATATGAGGGTCAGTATGGCTTCTGCAAAGGCAAGGACACCGAGACAGCAGTCATAGATCTTATCTCAGATTTACAAATAAAAATAGACAGTGGAAATATCTGTTCTCTGGTGTCTTTGGATTTGCAGAAGGCATTTGACACTGTAGACCATGAGATTTTACTGTTAAGGTTGGAGGAGGCAGGTATTAGAGGAATTCCGTACTTCTGGTTCAGAAACTATCTGCAGAACAGAAGGCAATTTGTGAATGCAAATAATGCTAACAGCAATTTACAATTGATCAGGTGCGGGGTTCCTCAAGGATCAGTTCTAGGCCCCACATTGTTTTTAATTTATATTAATTCTATTGGGAGACTTTCATTAAGGGGTAAAATAAAATTGTATGCAGACGACACAACATTGGTGTATTATGGTAGGAGTGTTGAGTCTATTAAGTCCGACATCAGTGAAGATTTATCCATAATAAGTGTGTGGTTGAAGTCTCACAAATTGACAGCTAACATGGATAAATCGTCATATATGTTTTTAGGTAGGAAAAATTTAAATAATAAATGCCATAACATAGTGTTTGAGAGTCAGCAATTACAAAATGTTTCTGTAATAAGTTATGTTGGTCTTTTCATAGATAGTATACTGTCGTGGGCAGCACATATTGGTCATGTTAGGAAAAAAATTGCACCTTTTGTAGGGATTCTGTACAAAGTTGGACATCTGTTGACTGAAAAATTGAGAAAACAGCTCTATTATGCACATGTTTATAGCCACTTGCATTATCTAATAACAGTCTGGGGCACGGCAGCCGACTACATTTTAAATCCCTTGAGAACTCTCCAAAATAAAGCTATAAAAAATGTTTTTAAACTTCCCTTTCGATATCATACTAAGAACTTGTATGAAATTTATAAATTCTTTAATATTAACCA